TTATACTTTATTTTCATTATTATTATTTATAATTCAGTTTATTTGTTAGTATTTTATTATTATTTTCTTCATATTTATTTCGTTGAAATATTCATAATTACATTGTTAATTAAATTTTCTTATTGTATAATATAATATTATATTGTTATGTTTTTATTCTGTTATTTTCTCTATTTTCATTTTTATTCTTCTTTTATTCTGTATTGTAATTATTCATTCGTTATTTATTATTCTTTTCTTTATCGTATTTGTTATTTATTATTTGTTATTCATTTCTATTATATTTGAAATTATCTAAATTTTATTAATTTTTAACATTTATTTGCAATTATTATTCATTCTTATTCATTGTATTCTATTTCTTCTGTTAGTATTGTATTTTATGTTTCTTATATTATGTTTTTATTTTATTTTTATTTATCATTCGTTGATAATACATTTCTTATTGTTTTATATTATTTCTTATTATATTCTTTTGTTTTATTCATTTTCTATTTATTTGTAAATCATTATTTCTTCTTTATGTTTATATATTTGAAATTTATTCTATTATGCCATTTTCAATATTCTTATTCATATCATTGTTATTTCTAGTTGTTATTTGTTGTTTCTATTTATTATTTATTATTGATGTTTTGTGCCAATACATTTCTCTTTCTCCTCATCATATTCTTCATTAGATTCTTTTAGAATGTGTGGATGTGTGTATCTCCGTTTTCTTCTTTTTATCTCGTCATTTTTGTTTTCTATTTACCAGTTCTTTCATTATAAGTTGTTTGAAAATTGAATAATTACCATAATGAGAATAATGCAGAAGTGATGATGACGACATTTTTATTTTAGTTAAGTAAAGATGATTTTGGTAGTTCATTTGTCATTTAAACATCTCATCATCACCACAATCTCATCAATTCAATCAGTCAAATGTCTTGCAATCAACAAAAAGAGTGTTGTAAAAAAGAATGTCAAGAGAAAGAATGTTGTAAAGAATGTTGTTGTCCAAGAATAAAAGCATTTAAGAAATTTATAAACACATTTGAAAAAGCACAAATTGGAAAAGAAGCACCAGAATTTAAAGCACCAGCATATTGTCCATGTGGTTCAATCAAAGAGATTGATATTAATGAATATAGAGGAAAATATGTTGTATTGTTGTTTTATCCATTGGATTGGACATTTGTTTGTCCAACAGAAATGATTGGATATAGTGAACTTGCAGGACAATTGAAAGAAATCGATTGTGAAGTTATTGGAGTGAGTGTAGATTCAGTTTATTGTCATCAAGCATGGTGTGAAGCAGATAAAAGTAAAGGAGGAGTAGGAAAGTTGACATTCCCATTAGTATCAGATATTAAGAGATGCATTTCTATCAAATATGGAATGTTAAATGTTGAAGCAGGAATTGCAAGAAGAGGATATGTCATCATTGATGATAAAGGAAAAGTAAGATACATTCAAATGAATGATGATGGAATTGGAAGATCAACGGAAGAAACAATCAGAATAGTTAAAGCAATTCAATTCAGTGATGAACATGGAGCAGTTTGTCCACTCAATTGGAAACCAGGCAAAGACACCATTGAACCAACACCAGATGGAATTAAGAAATATTTAACAGCACATTAAAACAAATAAGATAATTTAATACAAATTATTTTATGGTTTATAAGAAGAAAATGATAATAAATAAAAGAATAAATATAATGATTTTAATAAAGAAAAGAAGAATAAGAAATACTACACAACAGATGAATTTAAATAAAATGATACATTTGTATAAAAAATAAAGAATAACAGAAATAAAGAATATTTTAAATAATATAAGAATTAATTAATGAAATGATATTATATAATTAATAAAATTATTAACAGTTAATTTGTATTTAATTTGAATTAATATTTAAATATTCTTCATATTTAGTCTTTTATTCTTGCTTTTTCGTTTGTATTTATATCATTTTATATTATATCCATTTATTTTTAATTGATATTTTTATTTCTTATTTCTTTTCTTTATTATTCTCTTTATTTAGTATTAAAATATTTATGTTTATTCTTATTCTCTATTTCTTATTTTATTTCTATTCTTTTCATTCTTTATTTTCATATACTTTATTATATAATTCTTTTGTTTATTTCATTTCTTCTTTCTTTATTATCTTTTATTTTGAATTATTTCATCATTCTTATTTCTTATTATCTTTTGTTTTTATGTTTTTATTTTATGTTAATCATTTCTTATTTAATCATTTTGTTTATTAAACATTGTGTCATTACTTATTGCTTGTAAATTAACTTTATTTGATCATTTATTTATCAACTGTTTATAAATTAATATACATTTTATCATTATATTTATAACTTTGTTTTATAGTCTGTGTTACTTTATATTTATATTATCATGGTTGACTTGAAACACAAAACCAAATAAATTATTATCAACAAATTATGTGTTTGAGTTTTAATACAAAAATGTTGATAATAATTAATATATTCATCAAATAATAAATTCTAATATTGATTAAATAATCATTTGTTCATGTTATTACTCTTATTCATATTCTTGTTTTATTCATTTGAATCATTTTATGATAAAGTCGGAATAAGAAACAAGTTAAAATGAATAATCAATAAATGATGAATATATTCTTAAAATAATAATGATTTGAATTATGAATTGAAATTATTATTCATTTCATTCATTATTGTTGTTATTGTTTATGATTTATTTATTAAATTGAATGTTTATTTAATTTTGTTGATTAAAATACAAAAATGACATGAATTTTAATTTAATATTTCATTTCATTCTATTTATTGTTGAATTTCAAAATACAATAACACATCAATATGATGAAATGAAGAATGAAATAATTGAGTCATTAAGAAATAAAAAGAAAATAAAAGATAATAATGAAAAGAAGAGAGTACATTTAAAGAGAAAAACTTACATACATTTCATTCAATGATTATATTTCTATTGATTATTGTAATTACTAATGCAACAGAAATTATTAACAATCCAGAAGTAATTCACACACACATGTATTCAAATAAACATAAAATAATGTACAATAAATATAATATACATTTAAAAAGTGAACAACACCAAGTGAATAAAGAAGAAAAGGTAACATCTCCAGAAGAAAATGGAGTACCAGGAACAATAAAAACACCAATATCAAATGAAAAAATATTAGAAAATGGTGGTCAAAATGAAGAAGGTTATAACAAAGGAAAATCTGATAAAAATTCCGTATTAGAAAGCTCTACAACAAGTAGTGGTAAACATGAAACAAGCAGCGCTGATAAGGGGAAAGCAGAAGCACAAAAGCCAAGAAGCACAACTACTCCTGTTGTTCAGACAAATACTGTATCTCCAGGAAGCGATGAACAAGAAGCTAAAGGACCAACTAGTAGTGGAACTACTGAGATGGAAGAAAAAGGGTCAGTAAGTGGCAGTGCTGGAGGTAGTCCTGGAACTACAGGAATGGGTGATGCTGAACAAAATCCTAGTAGTTCAGGAGATAGTAAAAAACCAGGAAGTAATAACCCTGGAAAAGAAGAAACACATGTTGAACAAAATTCGGGAACAGGAAGTGGTTCATCAAAAGACGTTAGTGTAGAAGGGAATAGCAAAGAAGAAAAAACAGAATCTAGAAATGATGAAAAAGGACAGAGTAGTTCAAAAAATACTGGAGAATCTCCAAGTAGTGGAGCAAATGATAAAGGAAATAGTGAAACTCAAACAGGAAGCAGTGAAAAAGCAAATACAGCAAATGGAGAAAAAGGGAGTGAAAGTCAAGGGAAAAATAAAGGAGCAGGTAGCTCTAATGTAACAGGAAATACAGGAGGAGATGATCCAAGCAAAACAACAGAAAAGGAAAAGAATGGAGAAGGAGCTGATAATAAAACTGATAAAGGAAGTACTGGAACAGATGGAGTAGAAAATGGTAATAAAGGAACTACAGGCACAGGTAGTTCTGATACAACAGGTAAAAATGAAGAACCTAAAGATGAAAATACTAAAAAGGATAAAACCAATGAACAACAAGGAAAAGACGAGAACAATGAAAAAGGTCAACAAAATCAACCAAACGCAAAGGAAGAATCAAAAGAACAAAATGGAGAAAATAAACAAACAGGAAATGATGAGAAAGATAAAGACAATAAAACAAATACAACTTCTGAAAGTTCGGAAAATAAACTAAATGATGAATCAAATTCACATAATAATCTTGATGGATCATCATGTCTATTAATTACCTTCTTTGTTACATTGATATCACTATTCATTTAATTAAATACAATATTCAAACTAGTCTCATTTTAAATAATCAAGAATGATAATAATTAAAAGATAAAATACATATATAAGAGTGAATAATTCATAACATTTATGTCAGGTATATACCATAGCCATTTACAATTACAGCATTAAAACTGATTATTTTAATTTAAATAATTGAAACAAAATAACGGATTAATAAATATGAGTATTAGAATAAAAAACAAACAACAACAGGAATTGTTTATCATAATAATAATTTCATTCTTTTTATTTTTTTTTTTTTAAATTGAAAAAAAACATTAATTGGTTATATTTTCAATATACTCTTATACTTCAAAACAAATAATTGAGTATTAAAATGAAATAGTCTATTGATTATTATTTATTATATCATTAAAGAATAACTCAATGATATTTTATAAAAAATTCAAAACAAAAGTGAAAAATTGAAATGAAATAAAAGAGTTGAACAAACTAATATATTTTATAAGAATATTTTAATAATATCATATGTCTATAATACAATAACTTCAGAGAAAGATATTAAGAAAATATAAAACATTTTTTATGAACTTATGATATGATAGTAGAACGGTGGTAAAAAAACAGAAAAACTCAAAAAATTAAAATTAACTAATTTAATTCTAACAAACAATAAAATTATTTTTCAAATAAAAAATTGTTTTTCTTAATAAAATGAAATATTTTGATAGAATGATTACTGATTTAAATAAAAATATACCATCAAATACTAATCAAATATTGATATTAGTTTATGAATAAAAACAACGTTTGTATTGTACCATATATCTATATATTCATCTATTCTATTCTCTTATCACTCTGAATAATAAATTCAAGATATTTTAATGAAAAGTTGTACTATAGTGATATTAATATATAAGGTAATAATTATTATAATATCATTTATAATTAAAATATTGTACTACTGATATAAAATTGAAAAACATATATTATGTTCTCTTTTAATATTGATACATAACTCTATTTTTGTAATTTTACTCTCTCGGAACACTTATTATTTTGATTTTTTTTACAAAACAAAATAATTAAATACTTCATTATTGAATTAACAACATATAATTTGTTAGTCATAATACAAAAAAGGAATGTATCATTGTTATTCAAAGGAAAATATGTAATAATATAATAATATATATTCCACTCATTTTTAGTATTAAATAAATTATGTTTCTAATTTTAATTAGAATATAAAAATTCTATTTATTATAGACAATAAAACATCTTCGGTATTGAAATACAAAACCTATTAATGATACCATCTATGAAAATAATAATTCAATTTTATTTTGTTTATCATTATGATTATTAATTTAAGAATTATATTCATTATGTTTATATTCAGATATAATTTATTGTAAATATAAATTATTTTATTTGTTAAATAGAGTTACAACATGAAATAATATTTAATTGTTATGTACTAAATATTATATACAATTTATACTGACAAATGAATGAAATTATATATACAAATAACTAAATGGTTTGAAAAAAAAAATAATATAAATTGGGATAAAAACAAATGATTAACTTTTTATGATATTATACTTGACTTAGGTATTTTAAAATAACTTCTATGATAATGTTTATAATCTTATTAAATTTTAATGAAAAAATAATTTAACTCATTTTCATCACATATATATTTTTGAGGGTTAAAGAAGCATTCTGATTTTGATATAAATTGATTGTGAGAGTTTCATAAAATTAATTGTAAATCAATTAAGGATATTATAAAAACAAACAAAAACCACTAACTTACATCTATTAATTTTTTAATGAATGACTGTAGATGTTATACAAAACAATAAACAAAAATATTAAATAATTAAATAGAAAAAATTATAAATAAAAATAGAAAATTATTCAGATAATTAATTATTAAGTTGAGTTTCAATTAAACTTCAATTGAAATTCAAATTTTTTATAAACAAATAATTCTAGAAAAGTTCAATGGGTATGTTTTTTAGAAGAGATGAAAAAGAAATAGGTTTATTCATTGAATGATTTTAATTATTATCTTTTTATTATTAGTCTTTTCTCTTTTAAAAAGTACCTCCAGAACTTAAGTTTCATATATAATATTCATTTATGACAAACTCCAAATTATCTGTCTTTCGACCAGCTGAACCATCAACTTTTGAGGTTGTTGATGGAAAAAGTCCTAAAAAAAGAGTTCAAAAGAAGAAAAGATGGAACCAAGCAATCAAATTAAATGCAGTAAAAAAGTTTTATGAATTAGGTTTAACAAAAACAGTTAGGACATTAATTGAAGAATTTCCAGAACAATATCAAGACTTAACACCTTCAACACTTCAGTATTGGGTTCAAATGCTTTCTCCAAAACTTATTACAAACTAACAACCAATAATTTATCATTGGCTGTTTAATTTCTTAATGTAATTTAATATTAATTGTATTAATCTTTTTTCTTCTATTGAATCTTCAAGTTAATTCAAGTAGAAATCAATATTTTAAGTGGAAGTCATCACAATAATAACGGGAGAATATTCTTTTAGGTTTTTTTAAAAAAAAAGATAAATAACGAGACAATGAATTTCAATTGAAATTCAAATGAAGTTCATTTTCAATTCTTATTGAATTATAAAATTAATAAATTAAAAATAGAAACCAAATATTGAATAACAAAGTCTTATTATTCATTTTTTAATTGTGTAAGACAAATTAAATTACTCTTTTACATATAACCAATATGTAAAATAAGGATTTATAACCCTTATCATTCATTCTCATTCACATCAAAATTATATGTAAAGGATTATGAATAATACAAATAAAATAAAAATTAATTTAAAACATAAAACTAAGTAAAAAATATAACTTCAAAACAATCTTAAGAGATATTTCACATCCTAATATTGTTAAGTTTGTTATTAAATTTATATATAAAAAAAAAAGAAAAATGAGTTTAGCTAATTATTGTTGTAGATTATTAGATGTTTATAATTCAGAGAAACATTTATATCTTATATTTGAATATTGTAATACTGACCTTCATAAATTTCTTAAAAATAATCCTCAAGACCTTTCTATTGACTTTATTAGACATGCTTCATATCAGATGTTAGATGCATTAGCATTTATGCATTCGCATAGAATTCTTCATCGAGATATTAAACCATCAAATGTTTTATTAAGTGGAGATGTAGTTAAATTAGCAGACTTTGGATTAGCACGATCTATTAGCATTCCAATAAAGAGATACAGTGGAAGTAGTAACCATGTGGTATAGACCACCAGAATTGATTCAGAAATATAACGTTTATGGCTCAGGAATCGACATATGGGGGATGGGAGCTGTGATTGCTGAAATGATTCTTCATGAACCAATATTTAGAGGAGATAGTGATATTGATCAATTGCATAAGATTTTTGATATTCTAGGAACTCCAAAACCATCAGATTATCCTGATTTAGATTATTTCACAGA